AATCCCCAGCTCAGAGTTGGGTGAGTAGAGCCAAAAACTCATAAGTAATCTCACTTTCCAGCCAATCTCTATCATTAAAAAAATATTCTCTCCTTGCCTGTCCATCTCTCCAGAGCCTGGGTGAATTAGATTTTTATTAACTTTTTATTCCATATCTAGCCTAGCATTCAGAGCTGGATCAACGTCTGTTGGGTTCTGTGAAAGTTTGGGGCACAGCTTTCCAGGAAGGGAGAGTAGCAAAGGCCTGAGAGGAGAAGAAATTGACTCTGGGGAATAAAGTGAACTCGGTGTGTGAAGGTAAGGGTGACCATGGGTGAGCTGGAAGTCTTGTGCAGGGCCTGGTGCCTGATGCTCTGGCGGGCAGTTTGGGTCATATTCTAAGCTTAAAAAGTTTTACACAAGAGAGGTATCAGCATAAGCTGATTTATAAGTAGACAGGCTAGTGTGTAGACATTGACAGCAAGATGACAAGGGTGGGAATCTCTCACTTTAAAAAGTCATGTTTGCACAGGAAAGAGAATCATCTGAACAAATGACCGTGCATCAGGGGCATGATTCAAAACATGTCAAATGCATTTTCTAGAACAAAAATGTGGGGTGCACAATTGTGCATATGTACTGATAATTGGACATTGCAAGGAGTGAAAAGTTCAGTGAAATATCTGCATAGAGTGTACACAAAATGATGTGAATGGCACGGAAGTAGGCATGATTAATTCTGCCTGGGGATGAATAACAGAGTCTTACTAGACATGACATTCCCACTTCATCCTAAATAATTAGTAGGATTTTTCCAATTATATGGGGAGGGATGGAACTTTCAGACAGAGATGACAATGTTAACAAAGACTCAGCGACAGGGAAGTTCAGAAAATTAAGAAAAAAGTGATCTGAACGTTCTTTCTAGAAGATTCAATGATCAGGAGAATGGCTGGAGGAGATTGTGGAGAAGTAAGCTGAGGTCCATTTATAACAGGCCTATTTGGTATTCTAAGGATTCTGGACGGTATTTGAAAGTACTGGGTTGCTCTTGAAGCTTTTTGGGCTGAAGAATAGCAGGCTACATACTGTATTTTTGAAGGACCACTCTGCTGGCTCTGTAGAGGCTAGATTCACAGGGATCAGAGTAGAGAAGGGGAACCCATTTGGCGGACTATATCCATAGCACAAAAGAAACATAAGGAGACCATAAGTGAGGACACAGCAATGGAAAGCAGAGGAAGACAGGGAATGCAGAACCTTTCACCTGGTACAAATGCCATAGGTTAATAGCCAGTGACATAATTATTTACCAGTGAGTAAGACAGTGACAGAACAGTTATTTCCTTGCCTGAATGATCTCTGCTCCTGACAACTGCCCAGGTTATTGGGTACATGATGGCCAAACATGGTCATTTCTCCCACCAGGTAGGTGAGTCATGGTCTCCGATCAGGAGCATGCTTGAATATTCATGCTTGAATATCACCTACCTTCTTTCAGTAATCGCCAATCTTTTATTATTTTTTTAGGATTGGATTCTCTATTTCTACTTACAGAATGGTCACTGAGGTCAGAGCTCTATGGGAATATCACATATTTGTATGTGGTTTTATGGTTTGTAAAATGCTGTCATGACCATATCCTCAACCATCACAAGAATCTACGGTACGAGGTACGGAGAGGGAGAACCACCATGCTTATCTCATACGCAATGAAACTAAAGCTCCAAGAGAGTAAGATATTTAAATAAAATTATACAAGCACTTCACAGTAAAGCATTCCAATTCAGTGCTCCAGCTCAAAACCCAGACCATCCACTACATTCCACAGACTTTAAAATTAACTAGCAGGGGGTAGACTTGACCTCCAAAGGCAGTAGATACATACATCTGTACTTGCTCCTTTCCTCCTCCTGACAGATATCACAACCCTAACTCAACACTGTTTCCTACTGACCTTGGACTTCACCTGGATTGTGCTAACATGGTACACCTGGCAGCCACTGACAAATAATTGAGATTAGGTTTAAATAAAACTTATTCTCATCCTGGATCACATGATCTGTAAAGTCCATTCCAGCTTTAAGTTTTACAATTTTATATTTAATGTCGATGGTTCTAGATACTTGGTTTAATCCAATTAAAATTTGTTGGGAGCCTGCCTGTCCTAGGCACCCTTTATTCAACATGAGTAAAACATGTTTTAGAGCTTTGTGCTCACAGTCTGGTGGAGGCGATAGGCAGAGACCCAAGTAACTGAGGTCTAGTTTAGATGCCTAACAAAATGTTAGAAGAAAACAAGAGGTGGGAGTTGTTGTCCCTTGGGGAGAGAGATGGTTCTAGGTAAACACAGACCTGGCATTCTGGTGGACAATTTGGCTTCTCAGCAGAGCTTCAAGTAGAGGGAATAAAGGAGACATTTTTCAGCATTGACAACCACTTAAGAAAAGGCATCAATGCACAGTGAATTGGGTGTGGCAGACTAGAAACTTTCTGAGTATGGCCTTCTGTTCTGGACCCCATAGTGGCTGGATTGATGCTAAATAGAAATGCAATTCATGTATTGACTGAATCGTTTTTAAAAATACCAAGGCAAAAGAAGAAATAACATCTACCATTAGGAAACTTGCAGTTCAAATGGAGAGTGGAGAAATATTTTCGATATCAGAAAATTCTGATCTTAACTGCTCTGAGAAGTCATCCTCCCAAGATCTTAGGTTCAAAGGTTAGAAAATAGATTTATCTTAAGTGTCAGCTCTGGTTAATTGACAGCAGTGCTGAGGGGATGCTTTAAGACACAAATGGCTTGACGGATTAGCAGGGGCTGCCATGGGTGGGTGTCAAGTGGTATGTTATCTGTCCAACCCAGATGAGTCCATCTGTAACATCCCTGTGTACTCTATGCTCCCATGATTCCTGCCACAGCCTTGGCACTGTAGCTTAACCCCAAAGCCAGCAGGGTGATAAGGTGAGGTTATTTATCCCATTGCAATAGGAAAAGAAGCATATACCATATTGGCAAGAGGAAAGGAAAATTCCTGGCTACTCTCTTTATTTTGAGATATTCTTGCCTCAACATCCTTAGCTCCTGGCTATCAGCCACGGTAAAATCAGCTCCTTCTGGTCCATTACAAATTAAATAATCATAACTGTATTCATCATGAAAACATACACAGAAGGGATGCATAAGCCAGCAATTAGTAACAAGGCTTCAAGCCTTTCATTGACTAACTCCAAGGGCCTCATGGTGACTATTTCACTCGAGACCATGAGTATCCAAGCTCCTGGCTCTGTGTTTCCAGAGTAATGATTCCTCGAGTGGTTGCACTGGGAGTAGTTTTCTGCCTAGCCTTGTTCCTGGCTCATAATATGATGTCTGATAATATTTGGAGAAGGGAGAGTGCCAACAGACCATTGTGCCGAACAACTTTTTAAGCACACAGAATATTTCTGGGCCAGTGCAAGGCACAGGAAGAAGTCTCTGTGAACACAATGTGTGCTTCCCTGCTTTCTGTGCATCTGAGAAAATGAGAGGTTGGGCTGGACTATGTCCAACAATGTATGAAATAGAATGTGACCAACCACAGACTTCTGCTTGGGTTTCTGGTCACAGAAGCAGGGTGATTTTTTTCAGGTGACACCCATTTGGATTACAGATTCAGAGAGGCTTCTGAAGTCAGGCTGGGAGTCTGTGGCCAATGTTGCCATTAGACATTCACTGTTCACATCTGCCTTGCAGTGCTTTCCCGGAGCTGCCCTCACCATTTCTCAAACACCACCCTCTTCCCCTTTTATCTGGAGCCTGATTCTTTTAGGGAGTTATATAACATGCCCTCTAAGAAGTGTTCTCTGAAGAGACCACCACAGCCTCCACTTAATGCCACCAGCTCTTGACACATATTTTTTTGCAGCATGCTTGTATCAGGAGGCAGGAAATCCAAATGTGATCACGCATATCACACAATGTTGCCTGATGTTGTCCATGCACAATGGCTGTGTCGCCATTTTGTTTTTGTTTACTGCAATTTTGCTTCCATCAGCTATTTTCTTCTGGATGTTTATTTAGTGCCTAATCAGTGTAACCAAGCCCTATGCCTTGGGGTAAATGGGGAAAGATTAAAACTAGGGTGCATCTTTTCTCTTTGTACACTCACAGTTCTACTAGTTTACTATAGAGTTGTTTAAATCTACCCCATCATCTGTCCGAATGGGAGCTTAATGATTAGTTGTTGATTTAATCTTCTCTATGCAGTTGGGAAAAGTAAGGCAGAGAGAGGGAAAATGACACACCCAAGGACACATAGCTTCTTTAGGCAAAGTTGAGTTCTGATTCCCAGTTCAGAGGTTCTTAGATATATCCCCGGCAATGCTCAGCACTGCACCAGGAAGAATAAGGAAGGGGTCATCAGGTAAGTGAAGGAGGGTAGCTAAGGAATTAGCTAGTCATTGATTTGCAGTATTTTCTCCTTCCTTCAATATGCATTCAAGGTCTTCCTTCTATTGGCAAAGTGTGAAAAATCCACAGTCACTGCCAACTGTCAGTCCCCTTCTTGGTAGGGAAGAGAGACACACACCCACGTTTATTTCCATACAGCTTAGAGTTTAGGTAAATGCCACAAATACAATAAATGTGTGAAGACTGGAGGGGTTAATAGCGCTTGGACATACGGGCAACTTTCTTACAGCACAGTAGAGTACTTGGAGCAGCTTGGGTGGAAAGGCATTCCATGAAAAGGGACTAGTGGATGGAAAGATGTCTGGAAGACATCCAAATGTTCCTTTGAAGAATATGCCAGCACTCCTTACAGAAACAGCAAGGTACCCCTCTTGTGATCTATTGGAAGTCAGTCCTGATCTACCCTGTAGCCTATTCCTACAAAAAGCGGTCATTGGTTCTCTCGGTTTAAGTGGGTGCAGTTCTGGCCTTTACCACACGATGGCAGTGCAGGGCCACAAAAGGATTGAGCCAACCTCCGGAGTACTTTCGAAGGGTATGTTTGCAAAAAATGGCAGAAAAGAAGGGCGCCCCAGAGCGGAAGCCAGAGCTGCTGGGACTGGCTTCTGGGGGAAGGTAGTCGTCTTTGAAGCTGGAAAAACAGGTATTTTCTTTCTAAATCTCTGGTCTGTTCATTATCTCAAGAGATAATTAGATGTGTTCTGTGGTGTAGACCGGAAAGAATGAAGCCCCTTTTGAGTCATACCCATTTTCTTTTTAATTGGAGGACTTCTCATGCCCCATCCCCCAGTTTCCTCAAATTTAGTCTCTGTGGGGACTGTGGCTATGATGTCTTGTTGTCACACTGGGCAACAAAATGAGAGGAAATGGTAGAAAATGAAATAAATATGTGTCACCAGAGTCCCTAAGACAATATACAGTGAGGGAAAGCAGGTGTGAGACTGTGAGTGTGATTGTGTGTGAGGTCGTGCGTGTGGTCATGTGTGTGTGTTTGTGCAGTGGAGGTGACAGTTATAAAGGTGGTGGTGCTGGCATGGGCCACCATTTTTGGCTGTGTGGGGTGTGAGACAGAGACTGGGGAAGAGAAAGATGGGGAGAGCATGAGGGGGAATAAATATGAATTCCCAGAGACCCCTTGAGTTAGGGCAATTATTTGATTGGAGTCTCTGGCAAAGAGTGTGTTTCAGATTATATTTTTTTAACCCCTGTACTTCTCTGATCCCTTAATTTCCACCCCTCCCCCACATATTCTCTGCCTTGCCCTTTCTTGGTACTTAAAAAAAAAACATTTTAATGTTTATTTATTTTTGAAAGACAACATGAGTGGGGGAGGGGCAGAGAGAGAGGGAGACACAGAATCCAAAGCAGGCTCCAGGCTCTGAGGTGCCAGCACAGAGTCCAACTCGGGGGAACTCACGAACCATGAGACCATGACCCGAGCCGAAGTTGTATGCTTAACAAACTGAGCCACCCAGGCACCCCAGTGCCCTTTCTTGGTCTTCGTAGCCATAATCTCCACCTTGCATCTTCTGTCATCTTTCTTTCCCACCCTCTTTTCTGTTAGTCTCAAACAGAAACTTGGTGGGGGAGAAAGGAGGATTAGGCCAGAAGCTTCGGTCCTCCAGAGAAGAGGAAGGAAGGCCAGTGTGTCAGTGGCCGGGGGGGGGGGGGGGGGGGGCGGTAGTTGTAGGACAGGAAGAGCTTAGCCCCCAGTCTGGGAGGCTGCAGTCCAGGAGAAAGCCTGTGTCCCAGGTGTGGAAGGGGGAGGTCAGGAGAACACCCAGGAGACGGGAGTGGGCAGAGCTGATGAAGGAGGCTGTTTGCGTGTGGGGAAACTGTAGTTCTTTTTTTTATTTTAAAAGGGCAGCATCTCTCAATTTTTAACTTACAATCAATTTCCAGAAATCGTTTATTTCTAAACATTGCCAGTCAAATCCCCCATTCCTTTCTGCTCTTACAGTCTGAATGAAATTGATTTGTGTTTTGTAATTTTAAAGAAATAATGTCTTTCTGGCTTGGAAATTCTGGGCGTGGGTTTTCCCTCATGTCCCTTTCTTCTGCACCCTCTGTCCCCAACTCTGTCATCTACATCGGGGTGGGTCCCAAGGGTAGGGAGACAAGGCAATTGTTTTAATTTGCTTTTTTCTCCACTCCTGATGATTCGACATAAGAAACATTTTTTCCAGAAGTTGATATTAGTAAAGACCATTTTCAAAGAGATACAAGTAAGACAGGCTGTGTGGGCAGGATTCAACAGAGAATGATGCACTGTGGGCTTTTTTTTTTTTTATCATTATTATTTACTAACCTCTTATTCAAGGACTGAAGTGGAAGATTGACAAAACAACTCTTATCCCGTAATCAATTATAGCTGCAAGACAATAAATAGTGATTCGATGTTTTTTTCGTGTTCTGGGAAATAAGGATGCATCCACTATCCTTAAAGCTTAGGGCCTTTACACAGACCCTGGGTGGGCAGTCATAATTGGCATTTTTAATCCGGTAATCTCTACGAGCTTGGCATAAATGAAGATACCAATCATAATCATAAAAACAATAATTTGCTTTGGTTTTAGCTGTTAGATTTTATAAAACAATGGCATGTACCTTCTGAGACTGAATTTTTCCAACTGCTCTATGAAGTAGTTACTATTTCCATTTTACTGATGAGGCGACTGAGGCTCAGAGAGCCCGTACTTGAAATTGTATTCCTCCCACTGCATCCATGCAGATCAAGGAGCATCTTAACATACCCCCTTTGCACAGACGTGAACACTACAGCTTAGTGAGATGGGTGGAGTTGAGATGGATACAAAGTGCTTGGAGACTACAGTAAGCATACAGAGTGGAGAATCCCTTTTTTCTTTTCTTTTCTTTTTCTTTTTTAATTGTAAGAACATTTAACATGAGATCTACCCTCTTAACACATTTGAAGTGTACAATACAGTATTGTTACCTACAGGCACAGTGATGTACAGCAGATCTCTAAAATTATTCATCCTATGTAACTGAAACGTTGTATCTTTTGAATAGCAGCTCCCCATGACCCCAGCCCCTGGAAACCACCTTTCTGTCCGCTGCCTCTATGTGTTTGACTATTTAGATGCCTCATGGAATTAGAATCATGCAGCACTTGTTCTTCTGTGACTGGCATATCTCACCTAGCATAATGTCTTCAAGGTTCATCCATGCTGTCGTGCAGTGCAGAATTTCCTTCCTTTTTAAGGCTTCAAAAAATTAAAAATAGAGCAACCATATGATCCAGCCATCCCACTTCTGAGTATTTATCCAAAATAATTGAAATCAGGATCTCAAAGAGGCATCTGTACTCTCATGTTCACTGTAGCATTATCACATTAGCCAACATGTAGAAATAAGTTAAATGTCCATTGACAGATGAATGGATAAAGAAAACAAGGTATATACATACAATGGAAGAGTACTCATCCTTAAAACACAAATAGAGGAATTCCTTTTGGACCAGACCTTCTTTCAAGTTCTGACTTCACCATATTAAGTCAGAAGCCTTGGACATATTAATTGACATCTCTGAACCATATAACTTCATCCATAAAATGGGAATGATGCTCTTTGGCTCTTAATAATTACACAGGTAAAGTGGTTAGTATTCCTTTGATACATGTAGTTGCCATTCTGCCAGCTAGGACCCATGGATCCATTCCTAGGTCCCATGTAAGTCATTATCAAATGAGAGAGAGAGATGGTATATTTATCTATTACTGCACAACAAATTAACTCAAAGCACAGCAGTTTAAAATAACAATAACTCACACAGTTTCTGTGGATCAGAATATCAGAAGAGGTTTACTGAGGTGGTTCTGGCTGAAGGTCTCTTGGAAGATTATAGTTAAGGCTTTTCCCTGGGCAGCTCTTATCTAAAGGATTGACTGGGGCTGCAGGGTTTGATTCCCAGGTGAATCAGTTGGCAGATTGAAGGGGACTGTTGCAGTGAGCCTCAGTTCCTAGCCATGTGGATATCTCCATAGAGCTTTTGCCCTTCTTCACAATATGGTGGCCCCCTTCCCCTAGAGAGCATTACCTAATGATACACAAGAACAAAGTGGAGCTGACAGTGTCATTTCTGAGTAGCCTCAGAAGCCGCACTTTGCTATTTCTGCAAAATGATTTTCTACCATCATGGATTATCCTATATGGCAGCATGATGGCTGATGGATAGAATCATCTGAGGCCATATTGAAAACTGGCTGCCACAGAGCTCCTTCCTAAAGACTTGGGACTAGTAGTTTTGTGTCAGGAATTGTTTTGGGGAGGCTTCAGCCCTTGTAGTTAAGTAATTATGATGAGATAGCTGTTATTAAGCATCGCCTCCTAAACCAAAAGTTCAACTTCAGAAAGCACTGCATGAGCCTGGATGTAGTAGAAAGGGTGTAAAGCTGGCAAAGAAACTTCACAGACTGGGGCAGGGGGGCCCAGAGAATTTACATGACCACCTGGTCTCCCGATTTCTAATCTGGGTTCCTTCTACATTGAGGACCTGGACATTCTAATCCCTGCACCTTGGCCTGCCACAAAAAAGGGAATCTAGCTCCACCTGCCCAAGGCCATGATTCCCTGCCTCAGCTGGTCCTACCAAACATTAGGTATTTGTTGAATTTAAAGATTTCAGAGTGCCTCTGGGAGAGATTCTGACTCAAGAGGCTTGGGATAGGGGTGGGGGATTCGTTTTTAACAACCATCCTAGGTGACTGGTACTATCAAATTCAGGGAGGCCTAAGGTACTTTAGTCAAGAGCTGACGGAGTCAGGAGATCTAAATCCCTCTCCCCATCACACCATATGTGCACTGAAATTGTTCACAACCCTGGATCTTTGGACACACAGTCTTTGCTAGCCTCGTGCATCCTCCATTCTCTGATGCCTGTGTTCCTGCCTAGTGTATGTGTGTTTCTGAGCTCATAATGCTTCTCCTCTGCACTGCCTGCATCAAATTAACAACCCACACAAACACACAGAGAATGTCCGTGTGTTTTGTCTATTTGGACAGGCACGGGGTTCCCTGGGTGTTTGGAGATAATTTTTTGGTTAAATTATATATATACATTTTTTTTTTTCTTTCATGTTTGAAAAAACAAATTGGCTTCTTTACAGTTGCCTCCTCTCTTTCTCTCTCTCCTCATTTCCTGCTGTGGAGACAAATCTCCTACTTTTTGTTTTGTTTTGTTTTTTTTTCTTTTAAGTCCCCAACACACATTTAATCAGTCTGCTTGCAAACCAACATTTTCAGACTAAATATTACATAGAGGGAAGAAGTGAGTGGGGAAGGGGATCCTTTGTTTAATCACAGAATATTTCCTTAGATTTCCACTGTTTGAGAGTGGCCTCTTAGATGTTAAAATGAGCACAGACATTCTGCAGAAAAATTGTGAGGTTTAGATCTGACCCATTGTGTCTATGCTCTTATATTTATTGAGATCATATTGTATACTTATTTTTTTTTAAGTAAACAGATAAAACTGATGTGGATACAACCCTCACCCAATCTTGTAGGGGAAAAGGAGGAGGGACTTTTTTGGTGCAAGGTTGAATGTGAACAGCCTTAGGAAAGTGAACTTAATGGGAAGCTCCAAGCAGTGAAGAACATTCCAGGCGACAGTCAACAGAA